AACGTCGAAAGAGAGCATCAATTTACCATTTACTCTCATACATTCGACTTGTTTCACAAATTGGAATGTGTCTTTCACAGTGTGAGTGCATAACTCGCGGCGTACCGGTTCCAGCAGATCCACAATCCATTTCGCAACGGAGTGAAAAGCAGAGGTCGACATGTCAATTATCGGTTGTTGCATCAGATGTTCAACATCTGATGCAACAACTGAACGAGCTGACGCCTACTTCTCCGCTTGCAAAAGAAACATTCAGAACCACCTTGGTTCATCTCGCGCAACAATATATGAGTTACGAAGCCAAGCCGTCGAATCTCCTGACAAAGAAACACCGTGATGCCGTCAGGGAATTGAGATCCAATCCAGAGGTGATAATTTCCAGACCCGATAAGGGATCAGGATGGGTACTGATGGACAAATCTGACTACGTCTCTAAGATACATTCCATATTGCGGGACACTGGAAAATTCTTACGTGAAACGATACAGAAAGATAAGACCGCGCAAGATGAGCAGAAAATCACGCAAATATTGAAGGAGCTGAGACGCTTGAACCTGATAGATGGCGTACTACTGGAACGGCTAACTCCAGTTGGTTCACATCCCCCCAGACTTTACGGACTACCTAAAGTACACAAACCACAGGTTCCTCTTCGTCCGATAATTGACATGTCGACCTCTGCTTTTCACTCCGTTGCGAAATGGATTGTGGATCTGCTGGAACCGGTACGCCGCGAGTTATGCACTCACACTGTGAAAGACACATTCGAATTTGTGAAACAAGTCGAATGTATGAGAGTAAATGGTAAATTGATGCTCTCTTTCGACGTTGAATCACTTTTTACGAACGTTCCGCTGATAGAGACGGTTAACTTTATTTGTGATTACTTAAACCAAAGGAACATAAACGTGGGTATCCCAGTGCCGAAACTGAAGGAATTGATCTTACGATGTACTTTCAATAGACAGTTTTTATTTGATGGCATCTACTACAGACAGATCGACGGAGTCGCGATGGGGTCTCCTCTCGGACCTCTTCTTGCCGACGTTTTCCTTGCTATGCTCGAACATGGACCTATAAAATCCACAATCTCTTCATTCGATTTCTATTGTCGATACATGGATGACACTTTTGTAGTCTGTGATTCAAACACTGATGTTTCCAGCTTGTTGAACCGGTTAAACAGTGTACACCCATCTTTGAAGTTCACCAGTGAAATCGAGAGTGATGGTAAACTGGCCTTCTTAGACGTTTTACTAAGGAGAAAAGAAGACGGTTCACTAGAAAGAAGTGTGTTTCGGAAAACGACGTGGGTCGGTCAATACACGCATTTTCGCAGTTTTGTGCCCTTGAAGTACAAACGGAACCTCGTTCGTTGCCTGTATTTTCGTGCGGCCAAAATATGTAGCCCAGAGACCCTGGAGGCCGAAAAGAACCGTATTTTCCAAACGCTACAAGTAAACGGTTATCCAGCTCACTTCATCCGAAAGCACGCAGTGATTCATGCTCATCATGAATTGTTTACAACTGTCCCCAAGAAAGATGTGTTTCTATCAGTTCCCTTTAAGGGAGATATTGCTTTCGATTTGCTGAACAAAAGACTTTCCGCTGCAGTAGCTCGAACGTTTCCAGCTGCCTATCCACACATCATTGCTGAAACTATGCCGTTTGTTGCCAACGTCTAAAAGACAGACTCCCGGTCCAGTCCGAATCTTATATTCTATATCAATTTACTTGCACCTGTGGTGTGAAGTACATCGGACATACGACTAGGCGTCTGTCTAAACGGATGTCGGAGCACTGTCCCACGGCACTGCAGAAAGGTACTATTGGTTGCATCAAGAGTTCTATCCTAGAACATTTGGTCGACAGTGGACATCAAATTAAGGCTACGGATGCTTTCAAAGTGTTTTATGTGGTCCCAAAACGCTACCCCAAGGGACTGAGGAAACGAATGTTACGGACGGCCGAAGCCATTGCGATTAGGCTTACACAACCTGAGCTATGCAAACAGAGAGCGCTTATTCAAGCGCTTCTTCTGCCCTGGGGAAAAAAGTCTAATGTTTTATGATTACGGAGGTTGGTCGGAAACAGAATTGTTTTCTGAGGTGCAAAGGCCAATCGAAACGTGAATGCCTCACGAGTTAGAAGGGTAATCGAAACGTGTGCACTTGTCTGAATCGAGTCTCATTGCCTTCCTTGGTTTAAGCTTGTGACCATTGTGGGGATGTTGGGTCCGCACATCACGTGAGATCGTAGATGGGATTACCAACCGTATAACATAAGCTTGAGGTGCTTTCGCCCAGTCCGCCTTCTGTGGCGCAGACGTGACACCACTCTCGCCCTAAAGGACAGCATTTATAATGCACCTGTCCGTTCATCCCTCCTGTACGCTTGTGAAACCTGACTCATCGGTCGACAGACATAATGAGACTACTCACGTTGGATCATCGCCACCGCTGCACCTTTGCTCATATCTGGTGGGAGCACCGCGTGACTAATGGATGTGTTCAGCGTCGCGTATTTGGTCTAGGATTAACTCAGCAGGAACCGCTCAGTACCATTATATCACACACCAGACTCCGATGGCTGGGCCACGTATTGCACATGCGAGCACACCGAATCCTGCGACGTGCGTTGTTTGCGCGCTCGGGAAGAGAAGGGGGAGGTCAAGCGATGACTTTTTGAGAGGATTGAAAAGCCTCTATTTGGAGTTTGCGCCTATTAGGGCATCGCGACTGCTTTGCTGGGTTCCGAAGGACGATGGAGACGTTTGCTTGGATATACTTGCTGATATGGCGAAGAGCCGAACCCATGACGTTTGTGTTGTGAGTTCCATTGTCCATGCCCCTCTTCTTTAGTTTCCTCCTCCAATCACGCTCTCGTAGCATATGAATAATACGATATTTGACATTATATTGCTCGCTTTTTGAATTTTTTTAGTGCGATTTTTAGTCTTATGTTTTTTTTGTATTGCGGGACATTATCTGGGGTGTGTTTATCTCCCTCAGTTAATATGTATTGATGATCTTGATGATGTTACGGATGATGATGATGCACTGCTGATACCCTTTGGTTCTTCTTCACAGGCATGAAGAGATAAAAATTAACAATATGACGCCGGAGATTACATTAAAATATATAGAGTATGTTTAGATGACAAGCTAAAAACGAGCACGCTTATGCGTCGTATAACGTGATATACAGTTGAGCATGGATAGCATTGTGAAGCGATATACTATCGGAGACAGAACAAAAGCGTGTGATTTAGACCAAACGGAACTGGAGGCTAGCTAATCCCACACTGAGCATTTCTGGTGTGCTTACTCCTCAACCAACCATATGTTACCTTCCGTGGCAATTGTGGTCCGAGGAAGACTAGAGAGTTTCGGCCAGGCAAATCGGAGGAAAATCGGACTGGAGAGAGACATAAGGCGGAACCTGAAAAACGAGTCCTTTGCACTGTGTCGTAGCGAACATTTTCCCTTGAATGCACTGTGACTTTGTATCAAAGTCAGCGTGATGAGGATAGAGCCTTAGAGATGGATAGCTGCCAACAATTGCTCACAACACGTTTCACAGACTCGCAAGACCTCTTTCATTTGGCTCATCATAGATCATCTACAAGTATGTATGTATGTATGTAATCTCAGCAGTCTAGCAACTAGACATAGAGCCAACAAAGCCATGGAGATCAGTGGATAGGAGACAGTCATTGCGTCATAGTCATCGTGCCATGGTAGTTGAAGGTGGGCAACACACTTCAGCTAATATGCCGTAGGAAGAATGGAACGCTTTGACAAAAAATAGAACAAAACCTTTTTAGTTTGTTTGTCACACGCCGATTTTTCTCTTTTTTGTCATTTTCAATATTGGTAGTATTAAACATGTGAATCAATACAATACTATACACAATTCTTCCACTGATTCCGGTTGCGGGCCATGTCTTCAAGAGTGCTAAGCCATTGGCACTCTTCATCTTTGAGTCCCCATCCTGGAAGGCGTACGGATCCAACAGCGGCTAGACGCGATGTCAGCGATTTCATGTGCTGTCGCCAAGTGGAAGGCTGACCACCACGCGGTCGCCTCCAGCCAGGTCCTTGACGAGCGAATAGAGCACGACGCGGTAGACGCTCAGGTGCCATCTGGAGGACGTGACCGAATCATCTTAACTGGCGCAACAAAACCAGTTTGTTGAAGCAAATACTTGCATTCCCCAAGATGCGACGTCGAACGTCATTACTAATAACTCGATGTTGCCACCAAACACGAGCGATCCTCCTTAAGCAATCGGCATCGAAGGTAGAAAGACGACGCATGTCTTCGACGCGAATCGGCCAGGACACGCACCCATACAACAATACTGAACGAACTGATGCGCTGTAAATGCGGCCCTTTAGTGAGAATGAGACATGACGACGACGCCACAAGTGCCTCAGATTGACAAATGCTGATCGAGCTTTAGCGATGCGAAGCGAAACTTCTTTGCTGATAATGCCGTCAGCAGAAACAGAGTTCCCGAGGTAGACGAAACTACCTACCTGTTCAAGTTGTGCACCTTCGAGAGTGAGAACGGGAGCAGGTGAAAGCCAATCCTTGAGCAGTACTTTACACTTGGATGGGGCGAAGCTCATGCCATACTTAGATGCTTCAACCGCCAATCGATCGAGAATGAGTTGTATACCCTGAGGATCGTCACCAAGTAAGTCGGTCGCGCGTTCACCTGGTAGAAGCTCTGGACCAAAATGTTAGAAACCTTCTAGAGCATTCGACAGAACATCTTCGATTGCGAAATTGAAGAGGAAGAGTAATGTTTAGATATTTTCTGACCAATCTTTTAAATTGGTAAAGAGTGCTGCATTTATTTTACAGACAGCTTATTCCACTGTAGTGCATATTTGATACTCGTCTGTCTCTGTATTTTACAGTTACTTTCATATCCTCATTCTGACACACACACACACACACACACACACTCGATCCCATTTTGTTCCATCTAGATTCTCCGCGCCGGATTCGATCACAACCATCATATTTGAATCGGATCAGCAAGATAGTAGTGCAGAGATTCCGGTGATCAGAGCGGCCACAATGCTTAAACTAATCGAACGTATGACATACCATGCGTACTTCGACCGAAACACTATCAATGTCTTTCTTTTGGTAAGTAGACATTCGCCTGCGGTTGCATGGCGTAAGAAACCTTGATAACCGACTTTCCTGTTCGTCAATTATAGTTTCTCTGCCCTTGGCCTTGGTGTGCATCACACTATCCGGTTCACTAGGCACTTTTTCAACACATCCAATACTTTTGTTTGCTTCATCGAAGTTAGAATATAAGCCAGATGGGCCGACGACTAAGCTGAACAAGCACCAGACAATCGTTTCGCCCTATTGGGGCTCGCCAGTGGTGCCTGTTCCTTTGCTTCCCTGCTGAGGATCGAGTCCAATGACCACTAGTGGCTTGCATTGCTATATATATATATATATATATATATATATATATATATATATATATATATATTGTCTGCAGTCTATAAGATAGACATAGAGCCAGCGAAAACCATGAAAGTAAGTAATAAATATAGAGATCACAAAGAGAAGAATGAGTTTCAAAAATTGTTTTTATATCTTTTTTGTTTTTTTTTACACGCCGTTTTATCTTTTTTGGTCTGTTTAAAGGTTGCGATGTAAATCAAGAAAATTAAGTCAAGCATTTGTACACGTTTTTCCATTGGGCCTGGTTCTGCGCCATCTCCTAAACAGTTTCCAGCCAGCGGTGTTCTTCCTCTTTGATCCCTCAACCCCGAAGACGGAAGATGCATTACTAGCCAGCAGCTTATGTCACTGTGTCATAGCCATAGCCGTAACCGACCATCACGGATGGAAACTTAACTGCGATATAGGCCGACCCATCCTCCACTGCGATGCAGCTTGCTACGCGTGCAGAAGATTGTGTTTGGTCCTCAGGTGTCAACTAGCGGTAAACCCTGTATTCGACTTGGTAAAGTTTATAGGGTCATCCGAGACCGAAGCATCTCTTCAGCACAAACGGAAGATGACACGGGAACTACATGGGCTGACGGTTGATATTTTGTCGACCCGTAGTCCTTAGGTCTTGAAACAGGTTGTCGACCTAGTAATTTTGCGCGGATTGTTCTCCTTGTGTCTCTCCCTCATGCGCATCGCTTTTGTACCTGAAACAGGAAATCCTTTTGTTGACTGTGGGAGTACAGACATATATCTTTTGTTTCGGTTGCCTCACGTATCACACACAAGGCGTTTTCGCATACACAACCCTCGGACCCTTTGTTATCAACCCCGCAAAATTCTACTCTAATCACCGTAACTTATTGACTTTCCCTCTCCTCCTTCTAGACATATCGCCGATACATTAGTCCACAAGAGTTGTTGGAATTGCTCATCGAACGGTTCAATGTCCCTGAACCGGACTTTGCTGAGGCCGCGGAACAAGCCCAAATGTTGTGCGACAAAGAGAATGCTATCACAGTCGCCATTCGCTTGGAGAAGCGTTTCCGCTCCATCTACAAACGGCGTGTGCAATACAGGTACTGCTTTTCCTCCATTTTCTTTGGTCTGCTGGAATTCTCTCTCTTGTGACGTTCACGGGTGACATGCGTCACAGACGTTTTCGTAACCACAGCTTTTTTCCAAGCGTCACATTTGCTTGCACTGTGGTGTGTGTGGCATGAAGTTTTCCAGTTGATGCAGAAATCGGTCAGTTTGCTTTGTACATATTCAATCTCCTCTTGCTCCTTTCCAAACCTAGATTCTCCAACGCTTGACACGTTCCTGTGATGCTCAGTAGTATTGGATATTTGCTTTGCAATTTCACTCTGAATGTAATCTTAGATAGCCCTGAACTGGTCTGTGCGGTATAGCTAATGAGCACACAATGGGCTGAACTCAACAAATCCCTGTCATCCACGTACGTGGTACCAACTGTCCTCAAAACTATTCATACTCCTGAACCAGTATGTTCATCGGGTTTATGTATATACCGAGATCGACGAAGTGGTGCCACGTTTGGTGTTCCTGCCTTATCATAATTGGTTAGTTGCTACTGCGTTCTGTTGCATTGAGTAAGATGCATTTTCTTGTTTTCCCGCTGTGTTCAAACAACACGAACGTACGGTATTTGTATGCTACCGCACGACGCGACCATTTGTTCTAATCTCAACCTCTATGCACCAACGATTGAGGTCACAGTTGCGGGCTGCTTGGTTTGTTTGTGGGGAAGTTGGGTATACAGGGGGATCACCAAGTTGATCCGTGGCCAGGCTCCGCGGTCATTTGTCCCTGCGCAGCTCTAATTAATCTGTTCCGCTCATCAGCTGATATGCGTGCAATAGGTTTCATTCCCCTCGTTTGCGACGACCTCGAGCAGTTCCTTCGGATCTGAACAACGTCACTAAGTACGTTGTCGCCCTACCATCCTTCGGGTATACCTGGAGATTCCCAGGCAAATTTACTCCCCGCTATCTGGCTATACAAGGGACAATAGCTACGAATTTGTACCTTTGTATCTTACCATTTTGTATTGCGGCAGATTAGCTGAGATGTGCTTCTCACCCTCAACTAACGTGTATTGCTGATGTTGATCGCTACGAATTCCAATTTCTTTACGGTCGGGACCTTTCTATACTTTGATCACCTTTATTTATCCCGATGTGCACCGTACAACGGCACGATTTCTCCACTCACATGATCTTCTTCCCCCTACGGCCATCCACTTTGATTACTGGATATCCTGAAGTTGGCCTAATAATAGGGTGCTGAGTTCCTTTGTCCTCTTAGCTCTCCCTCTCTTCACATCCATTCACCCTGCGTCGATAATTCTCACACCACTGCAGCGGCTAACTGAGATACGCTCTTTAGGCATCTTAACGGAACGAACTGACTGCACAATGCCCTGATTGGACCTAATTATCTTTAACATTCCCAGACTTTCTGCCAGTCCTTTGACTATAAGAATATCATCATCGTCATGGTTACACGTTAGTTGAGGGTGAGAAACACACCTCAGCTAATGTGCCGCAATACAAAAAGGTAAGATACATAAAAGTTATACTACAAAATATTTAAAAGTAAGTTACATAATGTTAACTATTATATTATGCGTTTCGTACGAGATCGTATTTGGATTTGAAATCTAAAGGAGAGTGGGATGGACAACAGAACTCACAACACAAATGCCATTGGGTCCGCCTCTTTGCCATATCAGCAACTTTATCCAACCAACGTGTTCATCGTCCTTGGGACACCAGCGAGACAGTCGGGATGTACCAACCGACGCTAAATTCAAAGAGAAGGATTTCATTCCTCTCGACCAAGTCATCGTTTGGCCTCCCCTCCTCCTCTTCCAACCGCACCCACAACGCGCAAACACTGCACGTCGCGGAAGTCGGTGTGCTGGCACGCGCAACACATGGCCCAGTTATCAGAGTCTGGTGCGTGATATAATGGCGCTGAGCGAATCTTCCTGAGCTCTTCCTGTACAAAATACGCGACGTCGAACACACTCATTGTTCACGCGGTGTTCCCATTAGACATGATCTTAATTGCGAAGCCGGCGATGATCGAACGTGACTAACCTCTATGTCTGTCGACCTGATGAGCCAGGTTTCACAAGCGTACAGGAGGGTTGAACGGACGGCTGCTTTATAACCTCTGCTCCTCATGGTGTGCTGTGGCGTCTGCATATGAAAATGTGCCAAGTCTGGGCCCCGCATCGATCCCCGTTTTTCAATCTAGGTTTCTGTGGAATGTGTGTGTGTGCGCGCAGCTCGGCCATTCGCATTCTCTCCAGCGCTCATCTACCGTATGGGCTTTGGCACTCTGCTTTCCGATTTCGCGTTGTGCAGATGCTTAGAGGCCCCTTTGGATTTGTCATATCCTACATGCAGAGATAAATGTAATCGCTATGCGTGCTGGAATTGTGTAATGTTGCTTAACTATTCCGACTTTCATTACCTTGACTATACGTCCGTTGGGTTATGCTAACACCTTTTCTGCTTCTCTCCGTTCCGCTCTCCCCACCACCACCACCCGCTGCTGCCGTCGTGTCAGAGTGCTTAATTTCCTCATCAAATGGGTGAAGAATCCGTCCTATTACAAGCTGGACATTTCCACCAATGAAGCGGTTCGCAATCGATTGTGGGAGTTTTTGGACACAGTGGACGCCCGAAATCTACAGGACAATGTGGCCAACATCCGTAAATCGCTTCGTGGGGATCGCACTCGTCTCATACAAATCATACAACAACTGCCACCTGATCCTTTAGATTTGGGTCTGGTCACACGTGCGGAAGAGGTTAAATTGACCAACGTACGTGGTGAAATCATTTCTCGTATGAGTTTGCTTTTTGCACAGTGCTAGTCACTTCTTTATCACATACCCGATTTCATTGGGTTTCGATCCGAGCTTTTCGTAGGCGCATGTGATGGTCTGCTGTCGTCCCTCATGGCTCAGTGTCATGAGCTGCTGGCTAGTGCTGCAGGCCACTAGTGGTTATGGGTTCGATCCCCCCCCCCCCCGACAGGGGACCGAGGGAATGCTCACCACTGAGGAGCCCCAATAACGCCAAACGATTCGTAGTTTACATAAGCGGCTTGTAATCTAATTGTGATGAACCAAATAGGATCACACCCAAATCCGTCTACTCATTAGTAAGTATGCATGAACTGTTTTTCTTCATACTGTCTAATAACTATACACGCGACATATCCAGTTTCTACGTTTTCGTTTTTGTAGTGTACGTTATGTGTGTGTGTGTCGGTTGCGAAACCTACCCTTAATTTGATCACCGTTTTTCTTATCATTCCATGTTGCTCCCGATATTAACTGCGTTTAGTTATCATTTACTTTTTCCGTTAGTTGTCGAACGAGCTCAGCTTACTTGTTGGGTCCGAATATGCCGGCTTTCCCACGTAATCTGTGCTTTGTTTTGGGGCTACCCTTCCTTTATATCGACACGTAGGTGCCGTTTGGCAGACTGGGCCACATTTGTTGGCTCGAAGACATTCGGAGCACATATCCAGAACCCAAACGGATACGATTCAGTTTCGACAGACATTTCAATGCGTCTGTTGCTAACGACCAAATGAGGAGCGTTAGCGTTGCTCATTCGTTTTTTCATCAGATATGCGCAGACACATCGGTGGTCAACACTGATAGGACTCTTGATGTTTTCTAACCCGCAGCGTTCAGATCTCTGATCCCAGACAGTAACCTTAGCCTCATCTCAGCGTTATATATTGTTTCCTTTGATGAATCGATTCCCTCGCCCTGTATTTTCGCTTGTAGGTTCATCCGTTGGAGTTGGCGCGGCAGATCACACTTCACGAATGGGAGCTGTACTCACGAATTGAATTTTGGGAGGTCAATGGAAAGGAGAAAACAAAAGCTCCAAATCTACAGGCCTCGCTGGATTTCTCTAACAAGGTATTTCTACTGATTAGAGAGAGGGTTGTGTGGTCCACTTGGTTTTTTTCGATACTTTTGTTTCTGTCGATTTTTCATACTTCTACTTGGTTAATAATTCCCGTTTGGAATTAGAGAAGACGTATTTCCACCACTGCTCGTGCAAAGTCAGTACTTAACTCAGATCCACCTTTTTCCTATTTTTGTTATTATCACTGGTATCATTGGTAGTGGTATTGCTATAATCTATTTGATGGTTTGTGTTTTGGAATCGTGGCACTATTGATCAGTACTACCTCCTACGTCGTATAGCCCTGTCTCCTTATTTTTTCCGTTCTCAGCCTTGAAGCAATGCGTACAACCCCCTTGACTGTGTTTCAGGCGTCTGGTTTGTAATCCATTGGTCCATTGGTTAGAGATTGCCCAAGCATAGGCGACCTTGCGCAGTGTACCTTGCCTCATGTGATTGGTGGCAATCGCATGACAGCGCATCGGTGTGCTGCTAGTGCCTACAGTCAATTAGTGTCACAGAGAGAGAGAGAGAGTGAGTGAATGAGATCGTCGATCCACTACAGAAATATTCGGAACCGCTTCCTCATAGCGTCTACTTGGTGTAGATACTTCTTAGCTCATTTACAATTTCACGTGGGAACTCTGTGCACCTTATGATCCGTACTCCGTGTTGCGTCCGGCCCGTAGCCTAAAGATTACGAGCTTGTCTTGTAAAATGATGACGCTTGTTCGAGCCTGCGTAGTTGCAGGGCCACTTACGCAGTATCCCTAGCCCACGTGCGACCAAAGGTGGTTGCGCGACAGCGAAGCGTCTGTAGCGCATACCGGCGTACTGCTGATGCCTTTCTCTTCCTTCCTTGTTGTTTACTATCTGTTACTTTCTGGTAGCGTAATCCTGTCTCCAATAACGATACGTGCAGCAGAGTGCTTTGGACAGATGTGCTTGATAAGGTTACCTTTGGCTTGTTCGCGCCCACCTTTCATAGAGGGCCATGGTTTGCTTGCCAGGTTTTTAGCATCTAATATGTGATAGAGCTGTACCCTATGGACGGCGTCCCCAGGTTTCGGATCAGGGAGTACCTTCCTGCTGGAGGTATCAGCGAATAACTCTCGTCTGCAATGCAGCCGTGATGAATTAGCAGTCGCGGACAATCAGCGGCAGCGTTTCAGAGCGTGGGAAGTTCTGGGCTGGTCACCTGCTTCTCTATCAAATACCATAAGAGCTCGTACGGCACTGTGTCAAATGTGACCGGTTATACGGTCACTGACCATTCACTTCTGTACCCAGAGGGGAGTACCTAACGAGGGACAGGTAAACATTCTTGCCGACCACTAGCTTCTGTGTGGACTGTTACTAAACACTAAAGAAGGCTGATGAGCCACCCGGCTATCAACAATCTTCATATCCACTGCTGTTTGGACGTTTTAACAATTTGCCTCAATCGCTCCGCTGCTTTGCGTGTTAGATCTTCAGAACCAAAGTCTCCGGGTGAATTCCCTTAAGTCAACCCTCTTTATCGGTCTGGGTAACCATGAAAGTTCTCTGCCCACACTACACATTAGCTTTCGTGTACCTTTCCCTGACTGCCACTTCTTCTCTTTTTGTTGTTGCCCATGTGACACACTGCCAATCGTTTATTGTTCGAATGTATTATTACTCGATGATATTACTCGATGAAAACCCGGGTTAATCTAACAACAGGGCACGGAGGTTTGGGCCACTGTTTTGCATGCTATTGTTCTATCTCGCCTTCTAGCTTGGGGTTGATGCAACCTATTCTTTATCTAGTTTGAAACACCAGAGCTCCTGACCCACAACTACTACTGGTGACATGTATACCCCACCATTTCCTGACCGAAATAGATGTCCAACGCGTGCCTATAGTGTGGGCTGTCTGCGTGGTCGGATTACACGTTTCTCCGAACATTGGAAAAGGCCTAGAAATCTTTTCACTGTACCGCCATATCCTCCTGCTCCGTCCGCATTTTTGTATCTCCACCCTCCGGATACTCTTATCGCCTTCAGCCCGAATCTCTTCTTACGACATTCGGTGTTGTGCTTGATCACCTTTTCACTCGAGTTATCCCCATTTCAGACCGATAGCGTATCACTTTCGTCATTAATCACCTGTCTCCCTAGTTTCGGTGACCGCATGCTCGGGCCTAAGTAGCGCTGTCACATCCTAGAATTTAGCCCTGTAGACCATTCCGGACGAAAGAACGATGGCGGGCTCCTGCCCACTGCATAGAACACTCTTTTTACCCTACGACATTTGCTGCACCGATCTCACCAGTTCCACAAGCGGATTAAATCTATCTCCTTGACTTTCTGCGACACACTCATTTTACTTGTACGCTCAGTCCTGCTCGAAATACTTATCTAATTCGCCACAATAGCCCGTCCGATATATTTTTCCGGATTGCAGTTGGCCCATTTAGCTTGTAACATGATTTTGATGGAGTACATTAATCTAACCAAATCGCTCTACTCACAAGTAGTTCGAATACTTGTTTGTATGGGTGTTCAGTTTAAGGCGAATAATCATTGGTTGGGCGATTTCGAATCACTAGTAATCATTACCGTTTTTCATCTTAAACTTCCTTCGGTCACATTACCATTTTGCGTTCCTTGTGTTCAAACATCTCAGGTCACCTCAGGGTCTACGGCGAATTGTCAGACGCCGTGCCGACAACAATTGACGTTCTTCTAAATTCTCCCGTTTCTGTTCGTCATGAAATGTTCCTGATGCTCGTAGTGAGTCCCTACTCCTGTGTAACACTAAGTGACTTAGATTACGCGGACAATATCGTTTTGCTGTCTACAAATCGCGAATCTGCTCGGTTACCCTTGAGTACACTCTTGGTTGATTCAGTCCAATCCCATTCGTTTCGCAATACAATCATTGCCGTAGGACAATCCACCATTAGATTAGTTTCCTTCGATCTATGACGAGGAGGAACTAGGGATAGCAGTGACATGTGTATGGCTGTTGCAATTATACCACTCAACCTGCATTGGCCAGCGATATCCCGAGAGATCTGATGCACAGGAGATCTTGGAGATCATGATTACAAATCCCAGCGAGAGTCCCTCCTATAGATCAATGTAGCCTACCCTCTTCGGTTTAATGACTCGAGGTACGTGAAAGTTTACTACTTGAAGCTGTATTCTCGACGAGTTGGGATACGGTCCAGAGGAATTTACTTTTGCTTTACCGCGGCTAGCTCCTGCGGCTTCATGAATATCGCGGATTGCAGCTGCCCAAGTGCGACGGTCGGCAGCAAGCTCCACGCGGAACATGTCGGATCGTATTGCAAAAAGTAACTATTTTGAAAGGAGGAATGGCATCAGCAGTACTCCGGTACGCAGTACTGACGCTTCGCTATCGCGCAACCACTACCAGGTCGCACGTGGGGAAAGGATACTGCGAGGACCGCCCGGGCCCCAAGCAGCTCGAACCCGCGCCTTCATCTTACAAGGCAAGATTGGGATACTTAAAACTACGGGCCTGCATTTGTGTACAGTCTCAAGTGCGATCTCACGTAACGTTACAACCGGATTACATTTAGGAAGTGGAATATCTCTGTGGAAAGAAGACACGGAGGAATACCAGGAGGAAAGTGTGATACGCGATTTCAATGTAGACCCCGACTGAATCCGAAGTGGACCCTGTTCAATACAGTCAGTACGGCCGCATCTGAAGCAGATACTTGCTAGATATTGTCCGCATTCCAACGACCTGGATTCGATTCGCGCATCTGGCCGTGGAGTGCAGCGTCACGAACAGTCACCATCCAGTCCGAGTGGCGTAACTCTGTGGCTTAGTGGGGGGGGGGGGCGCTCAACTGTAATGCGCAATGCTTCTAGTGAGAGTAACTGCTCGATGTGAGTAAGAACCATTGGGCCACGATCTCAAACTGAGTGGAAACGGGAAGCGTGCTTCACACACGCGTGTATCGGCTCCGGACCCAAGATTTTTCCGCGCCCCATGGAGGCTCGCAGTTTCGTCAACTGGATGTCGATGCAAACTAACGCGGGTCGGTATCAACAGCTGACTTGCATGCTTCACCTAATAGTCCAAGGAGTTTCAACTCTTTACTGTATGACCAATGCACGGAAAATGACCGACATCTGATCGCGAATAACTGCGCAAGCAATCGGATCAAGAGTGAATCAATTTAAGTGCCCGAAACACAATATGAGCCTTCGAAAAAAACATTTACGTGCTTATCGACATTTCCGCATTCAGGAAATAATCTGGTATTTCAACCCAGAAACAAATTGTGATGTCGAATAGTTGTCACAACCACATCTCATGAATCTGCCACTTATTTATCAAGACTGATTTTTGATAACATTTGATCTATAACCTTTTAGAATGATACAGTTACGCTTTTAAACTCTTTACCATACAAACTTGTGCAATATGTGCACTAAACCGGTGAAAACGGACGACTTGCTCCGCTTACACACACACACACACACATATATATATATATATATAAATATATATATATATATACATATATATATATGTATATAGATGTTGCATTCTTGATGCTTCTTCACCGCAGTTGGGCTAAACCAACTTACACTTAAACTAGGTCTTTTTAAGCTGGATAAATTTCATTCCGGTTTATTTGGTTTGTTCTGCCTCCCTGAATAATGTTCTATTAATTGGCCACGTTGCTTACACTAATTGCGCTTATCTTCGGTAATTTTGTTGCGTTTGTAGCATTTTAAGTAACTTGTGGACATTTCTTACTTATCACGGATTTGTTGCTGACCAACTTACTTCATATGGTAATTTAGCGAAGAGTTATGCCACCGTATCTGTATGCATTATTGGATTTATTTTATTTCAGCTTGTCGTTTAAATTGAATGGCTGTTGTTTGAAATCCCTGGTATGGTTGCGCTTGATGTGTATGTTGACAAGGTGCCTACCTGTCTATTACCCACTACATCGTTCATACTGGCTCCAGGAGACAGTTGGTCGTTGCTGGAGGGGACGGGGTGCACGGTTCTTGTGGCCGTGCTAGGCTCAAAGAGCGGTTCCATGCACTCAGTGTGGAGCGGACTACGGTCCAGCCACCGCCTTGTGTGCGGTTGATTCCCCAAATACAGCGTGCTTGTGTTTGCCTGTGAAGGAGTGTGGGCCGGCTCCGTTGATGAAACGTGGTTCCCATCCGCATGCCTCCCGGTCTTATTCCTTCGGGTTTACACTGGATATGGGGTATGTGGTTGGAGCTGTGGGTGGTGCAGCGCAAGCCATCCATGGTCCCTCTGTAGGCGCAGGCGTCCTGTGGCTTGCCACAGTGACAGGCAAATCCGAAACCGGATGCCGCCAACCATACCGGCGAGACGGAATAATGCACGAAATAGTGGTATGATACAATCATTCTCCGGATCACTGGGGCGATCATCAACTATCCAACCTCTAATATCTCCATTTTCCTTAGACTCATTTCATTAGGTGTGGAGATGGAGTGATAGAGTCATCATCATCGTTATGCACGTTAGCTAGAGGTGGAAAACACCTAAACCATTATGTCGCAATACGTTAGAAACAAAAATATGCAGCATAGACACACCGGCTGAGTCATCAGTAACAGATGAACATCGTTCCGGGGAGCTAACAGCTGACTGCTGTGTCGCAAAAACAAGTATTATATTATGCAGATGAATTGAGATCGTGGTTGGATGAGGAGGCTAAGCGAGATGGGGATGGACAAAGAAACTCACAACACGAGTGCCACTGAAATCGGCTCCTAGCCATGTCAACAAGTGTATCCAGCCAATCGTGTTCATCATCTTCTGGGCCGCTTCCAGGGAGCCGAGATGCTCCAACCGAGGCTAACTTTGAACTAAGGGGTTTGGGACAATGGAGAATGGAACTTTTAGGGATAAGGCCCGTTTGCACCATTTTTTGATCACTGTAAATGCCCCCAGTCTTTGTGAGAGCGGAGGGTTTGATAATATAGTGATTATAGCTAAGATTCACTTATGAGGTGTACTGTCAACTGGTAGTGAATTATGGCCATGCTTTTGGATGAACAAGTTGTACCAACCTGACCACGTGATACGTCTATGCACTCAGTGCTTACTAGGAAGAAGGTGTTGATTTGTTTTGCAGATCCGGAGTGTCGTGTAAGGTTCAACTGCAATAACCTTTTTCTCTAACAGGGAATGAGGAAGCCGCTGGTGACTTTCGGGTGCTTTTGATCACTCATCGTTGATGCAACCAGATTCACATGTGCTTGGCTAGACGCATTGCTAGAAATGTCCTACTGCTCACTAAATTTATATCGTTTAGCCGGACTACCTGTTTAAAATGTATGTGTGATGCTGAGTAATTTGCAGTGTTATATGCTAATTGCGACTCAGGACAGTAATATCCGCACCGAAGTTATCTCACTGCCATGGAGCTTCATCCTCACGCAATACTGAATGTCCGAAAGTTATTGTGAATACCTGTGGCTCGGGGTGTGGATGAGAGGGTTGTCCTCTTCTCCGAGTCGGGTATTTCTGTTGCAGACGTTACGTTGCCAAGTTAAGCAACATCCTCAGTGCGGCTATTAATTCTTGATTCGCACAGTCTCGCAACGCACTGCCAGATCCGAAGGACTATTCATCGCTTCCTGCTTTGAATGTCAGTCTTTGCTTGGCTCAAATGGGCCGGCCGAGTAATCACGTCTTCTTCTTGTCGATCTGGTGTCTATTACTAACTTAACTTGCAGAACTTCATAGACACTTTCCAGCTTCAGGTGCTTGTTGATTGTTGGATGCAATGCCTAGATGAACTCAAGCGTCCTGCAGTTCCTTGCTCTTCCAACTATCTCGACGTTCTCCAGATCGAACCGATGATCCTCGGCCTCCTTACGTACCGACATTATCGATACCTCATCGTGGGGGCGGATGGCCAGGCTATGTTCGTGCAACCTTGTGCCATGTTTTCTTCCAGTCTTTTCTACATGGTATTTGTCACAATTCTCACAGGAAATTTTGTAAATTAAACCCGATGTTTCTTCCTTATTCACTAAATGTTTGTCTGGAACATTTCTATTTTATCATACCCTTTCCTATTACTGCTATCACTACCAAGTTTACTATTATCTCTCTATTGCAGCGAACCATCTTTTCAAACCTTTAAATGTCTTGTTATCTATGCTCTATCACTATTCCTTCGCTGTTTACAGATCAAATGGTGGCTCGTGTATTCCATCATGTCCGCTGAACACCTGGAAGATCGTTTGATTGTGATGCAGCGTGTTGCTGATTTGGCCACTTTGTTCGAGGTCCTGAACAACTTGGAGGGCTTTCAGGAAGCGAGGGCGGCCCTACTCAGTTCCCCTGTGTTCCGACTTCATAGCACTTACGAAGTGAGTTTCACCGTGTTCGAATCGCGAAGGTGTTTCTCAGACCTTGTCACCAACGTTGCTATTTGGGAAAAGTGCAATACCGGATATCTCGCCACCTCAGACACAGTCCTTGTGCTCGAGATAACCACTTTTGATTCGGGGAAATATTGGCCCAATATAAGGGCTACGCTTTTTCTTTCAGGCACAAGGCTACTGACTCCGTCCAGAGCTTACCACTCGTCATAACTGGTTACTAACCGTGGCCATACATCCCTTTGCTTTGGGGTCGGAATATCATTTGACTCCAGTCGTTTCCCGCGTTCGATTTCTGATCCCAACAGTATCTAAATTTGACGGGCAACCGGCGGCTAAGCAGGTCGCTGTTCGGCTAACATGTTAGTCGCTCAACCATACACTGTTCACCGAGGCGCGGCGGCTTCACATACCTTGACACATGTCACCAAACCAATATTACTGTTCATAATAATACTACTAATTGTAATAACGATGACAATTTAAGAGGAGCGAACAAATATCAAAATCATCGAACAGAAAAGTTGCGAGTCTAAAATGATGGACCGAATAGTGTTAATAATAGATATATGTGTCATAGTTCACTGTATCTGCGCTGCTTAATATTTGAAATAGCAATCATGCGTTTTGCATGGGCCATAAGCGTATGCGCAATGTTTAGGCATGTGATTCGTGTAACCGCGGTATGGTGGATACTTGAGATGAAAAGAACCAGAGTTTGGACACGTTGAAGTTTGCACGTTTTTGACCCCCACCTTGGAGTAGAGGGTTACGAAGTTGTTCGCTTCCATCCCTGCATTCTATGACCGACGATTTCGTCCTGATTTGGACTCATCCGGTAGTGATAGTTGAGCTAGCATTGGAGCTGAGCGCATATTGTTTGGCGGCTATCACCCCATGATCCCTAAACCATTGAGCTTCGTGGGTTGTGCTTGACACAGCAGGTTGGAAGTAGATTTTCGGGTTTTGGAGCACCTGCCGTGGGTCTTGGATTGCAACACGCAATCTCAATCGTGTCCTCGGTTGACTCTGAAGTCAACCTCCACTTTCCGATCGGTGGAAACGTATTCGAAACCGTCCAGTCCGGATACGGTCCAAGGAATCGGAATGGCACTGGCTGATTTGGAAACCACCCGTGGCCACAATCGAGATTGCGTGTCGTAATACAAGGCACAGGCCGGGTATTCCAAAACCCGACAATCAATCACCCTCATGGAGTAATTCGTCGGGTGCTCTTTCCCTTATGATTATAGTCATTCTTGTATCCAGGTCAAAGTAACGTACGCGTTTGTTACTAAATGTTGCCACATTTACGCATGTTCTGAGTGTGATTGGCAGTTTATTCCACACATCGACGTTTGACCAGGGAAAATGTTGAAGCGCTTGCTCTTGGCAGAACCAGTGTTTAATCTTTGTTACGCGGCTCTCGAATTGAGCTGTGTTGCATTTATTTCCTGTACGCAGATCAGAGTAGGTTTCCTTGTGTAGCGCAACAGTCAAAACGGTTCCAGTTGAAATTTCTTGCTCACGAAAACTTCCAGCAAAATGTCCTTTACAGAGCAGTTCTGCCACTTTTACTCATCTTACCTTGTATCGGCTACAGTACTCGAGGATGGGACGGATGAGTAGCTTAAAAAGCTTAACTCTAGATTGAATTGTTCGAAATATTAACCACAGATTGTCAGGCTCGCGCAATTCGATATTGGGCTTGTTGGGAAAATTTGTAGATCAGTGAATCCCTAACTCCAAGATCGCGCGTGGATAGATATATGTATACATGTTCGTCGTTGAGTACAACAGATACTTCAGAAATCGAACAACCGTAAGACCTGGCTTATTTCAACACGGTCCTGTTTCTGATCGTCCGTCAACAAACGCGACACGAATTCTGCACTGACGTGCTGCAACTCAAATTTGTCTCTCAACCGTTGATCCCATGATCATGCTCTAGTGTCTACTTATTCATTAACTTCTCGAACAGTTAAACGAGGATTTGAAAGAAGCACCGCTTGAATTTTATCGCCAAGGTTATCGTCTGTTTGCTCGGGATCCTCATCGACCGACATTGTACCGTGTTCGAAACGCTTAAACCACCTAGTGCACTGTCTGCGACTCATACAGTCCCCTGCGTATGCTTGGCTAATCAATCAAAATGTCTATGTAAATCTTTTGCCGAGTTTGTAGCGAAATGTCACACACCCACACACACCCACAATTCAGTGGATTTAACTTGCTACCGAACCGTCAGAACGAAGTGCGGCAAATAACAATTTGATGTACTCATGAGTAGGGGTTTTTGATGTAATTATATGAGGTCCATCGCAGCCAGTTTCCAAATCAGTAACCCAGTGGCATAAGCTGCTGACTGGCGGTTCAAGCCGCTGGTGGTCATGGGTTCGAATCCTGACGGATCCGATGGATGCGCACTACTGACGATGCCCAACAGGCTGAAACTGCAGTCTAGTGCTTTTCCGGGCATGTGGACGCCTATCTGATTTGGAAGCTGGCTGCGATGGACCTCACATAAAATAACAATTTGTTGTCTAAACAAGCCTTCACATCCACTCAGTAGCCGCGGCGCGCGCTCCCTCTATCGGTTGGCGCGCCATTTCAAAGATTCAATTTATTTTGGAACACAGTAGTATTATCTATCATTTGCTCGCCGCTTATTTGCTTTTTAATTTAAATGGGTATGTTACTCGTGTTTTTGACACCGGATCCTCATTCACCGAGGTGTGTCATGCAACACCAGCTGTTCCGCTTCAGGGATTACGGCATATGACCTGGTTCTTTCGAAGGTTATCATATTATAGGTTTACTTGCTTGGCATGACTACATATTATCACGTCTTTGTTCGCTGAAGTCACACCATCGAGCACGGTTCGACAGGTATCAATACTATCGCTTACGCTATTCTTCATGCCTGTAGGCTTTGCTCACCAAATCCAGACCACATCATCGTGCTTTCTTCGAAAACCTACGTCGTTCCGCTGAGACAGAGGACGGAGATGCTTATGTGACCGACTATGAGAAGAAGCTACACGAGTTAAATCCACCTGGTCTGCCTTTTATCGCTGTGGGCGACAAAACCCACTTGATTCACTTGGAATTGAAACACCCAGACTGGATCACCGTCCCGAACACACAGGGCGCTTCTCTTGGTTCAGAAGATGCCGGCTCACGGTCACTAATCAACTTTTGGAAGTGTCACCAGCTGGCTGACTTGGTGGAGTACTATCTGTCTTTCCAACAGACCCCTTACAACTTCACAGTGAACGAACACATACGTGTGAGTTGGGAAGTAGTTTGTCATAATTATCGTCCCATAACACTTCCACGTCGATTGTTACTTGTCCTTTTGCTCTTCGTTTTGGAGCCTGGTAAGATACTACTGCTTACATTTTGCCAGCGTAACTGTTTTCTACTAAAACGACATTCCCATCATTGTTCTCTCTCTCACCATTAAGACAGCTGGCGAAACCCCTCTTCTTATTTGCTGCTTGTCACCATGGTTACGCACAGCTACAGCGCCCATTGCACTTGCAGTGAGGCCAAAAATGCATCGGCAGTACGCGAGGGTCACCCAATTCTTAAGCAGGCTCGAGCCCGCGCCCTCTGATTACAAGACAGGCTTGTGATCCTTAAGGATGGGGGCCGGCGGTCCGAGTTTCACTTATCCTGTCCACACACATACACACACACTCCATACTCCGTATTAGTTCCCATGGCAACAATAAGGATAATAGTAATTAAAAATAAGTATATGGCGTGCTTTGAATTCGTCTTACATCTGCTCAATCAGACAGACGTCACACGTCGTATTGATCTCTAAGAATCAGAACAAAATATGGGCAACTCTCCGAATCATTTATCTGTGGAGCAAAGCATCCTTTATGCTATACACTTCCGCGTCTTCTGTCTGTGTTCATTGATCCGTACGTTCTGCTCGCTTCAGTCGACATCTGCTATGTCTGCATTGTACTTCACGTGTCATGCTCGGACGTTTTAGTTCTCCTTTGTCAGTCTGGCTGGCCAGCGCACACGCTTCGTCCACTCGTGACATAGTTGTGCTTTGTTACTTATAGTTTGCTCAGACCCTGATTCTTATTTATCTTTCGTCTACGCATGGTCACTTTACGTTGATAGCGATTGATTGCCCTCCTGCCCACTGATCAGCTTCGTTCAAACGACTAGCTATTATCACACGGAAAAGCACCGGCTAGCCACACTATTCACATCTGTTGTCTTTGTCATGTTGGACGTTACGGCCACCCAGCGGCCTGAACCGCGAACTTGTGAACATAGGGTTCCGGGTCACACCTCACAGCAGGCTGACGGAATTCGCACTATTGGAAAACCTGGATTAGATGAAACGGGTATGCAGAGTTTTTCTGGATGTGTGATGGCTGTCCGGTTAACTAGGTCTGATGAATTTCAATTGTTACTTCTGGAAACACGAGGTGTTGATCGAGTCACTAAACAGCTTACACACTGCTATGAAATGGACAGAATACTTCGTACTGAAAGCGTGGTTTCTTCAGTGGTATTATTAATCATAGTGTTATTAACATATGAATACGCTAAACTTACGAAAGGAGACTCCGGCAAGGGAGTTTGTTTTGCAGTAATTCCACAGGGGTACGATTAAGCCGGTATGAAACGCTAGAGTTCGGTTGCGTAGTAAGACAATGCACATCTGAACGTCGTGTCTCACTACTAATGAGTAGTATGGTGAAACTAGCAGGCGCGATGAATTCTGCGAATAATGGATCACCGCGCACGACGGGCGCGTGGGGCACAATACAACTAGCACTGAAAATGGATGGCGCTGGAGCCTGGAAACTGTATCATACTGTGACAGCAAGCTGAGTCGATAGCACAAGGCACAGCGTGGAATTAAATGGCAATACGAATGATCTGCGCAAATGAGTCCGCTTGTTCCATCTTAGTGTTGTGATAGCTTATCACCAGCCCCGGCCTGTCTGGCCATGCATATGACTCGTGTGTGAATGAATGTCCATGTTGTCAAGCGGACCAGTCACTTTCTCGAGTGTACAGATCAAGCTGTCGGTCACCTCTGCGATTACCCACATGGTTGGCGGCATCCGGTTTCGGATTTGCCTGTCACTGTGGCCAGCCACGGGACGCCTGCACCTACGGATGGACCACGGGTGGCTTGCGCTGCACCGTCCACACACCCCATATCCAGTGTAAACCCGAAGGGATAAGACCGGGAGGCATGTGGATGGGAGCCACGTTTCATCAGCAGAGCCGGCCCACACTCCTTCACAGGCAAACACAAGCACGCTGTATTTGGGAAATCAAGCGCACACAAGGCGGTGGCTGGACCGTAGTCCGCTCCACACTGACTGCATGGAACCGCTCTTTGAGCCTAGCACGGCCACAAGAACCGTGCACCCGGTCCCCTCCAGCAACGACCAACTGTCTCCTGGAACCAGTATGAACGAGGTAGTGGGTAATAGACAGGTAGGCACCTTGTCAACATACACATCAAGCGGAGCCACACCCGGGATATCAAACAACAGCCTTACAATTTAACCGACAAGCTGAAATAAAACAAATCCAATAATGCATACAGATACGGTGGCAGTATTCTTCGCTAAATTACCATATGAAGTAAGTTGGTTAGCAACGAATCCGCGATAAGTAAGATATGTCCACAAGTTACTTAAAAATACACCAATCGCAACAAAGTTACCGAAGATAAGCGCAATTAGCGTAAGCAACGTGGCCAGTTAATCGATTATTCAGGTAGGCAGAACAAACCAAATAATGTGGAATGAAATGTATCCAGCTTAAAAAGACCTAGTTTAAGTGTAAGTTGGTTTAGCCCAACTGCGGTGAAGAAACATCAAGAATGCAACATCATCCTCAGCATGGGGCACGATTACATACATACACAGGTGGTCAAGTGATACTACTGGGTGTGCAGGACGTTGAGGATCGACGACTCGAGGAACCATTGACATCGCACTCGGAGATGGTCCGAAACCTAATTGGCTGTGACTGGATCAGTCAACTTCCAATTCTGCGGATGCCCCATCCTCCCTTACCATAGGAGATGCAATCACGATTCCAACAATATGCACCACCAGTATTTGAGACACCGGATGAAGGAAAGTTCACCGAGGGACAAGTTAATATCTACATTCCACCTGGCACACAACCGCGATTCATCAAGGCTCAACGCTGCCGTATGTATGATGCAATCGAAGGTAAAGGAAGAGCTTGATTGCCTGCAGAAGAGCGGCGTCATAGAGTTAGTATAGTTTTCGGATTGGGCTACACCAATTGTTCTGGTACTCAAGTCTGATGAATCGATTCATATATGTGGGGACTATAATATTACTCTCAATTGCGGTATTCCGGCTGAAAGATACCCAATCCCGAAACCTGAAGAAGTTTACGCGCAGCTCGGTACCAACAGGTATTTCTCAACCTTGGATCTCGCGCACGCTTATCAGCAGCTCGAAGTACACGAAGATACCAAAACAATAACGACGATCAGTACCAATCGCGGTTTCTTCAGGTACAACAGACTACCATTTGGCATACATTCGGCGCTGGCCATTTTCCAGCAAACAATAGAGAACATCATAACTGGGTTGCCTAAAACTTTCGTCTACCTAGACGGCATATTGGTTACGGGGATGACAATTGACGAACATCTACAAACCAAGTTGTTTTAGACCGCCTGAATTAGAATGGTTTGAAGCTGAAACGTGAAAAACGTATTTACTTTAGGCCCTGAAGCTTGTATTAATTTCCTTTGATGCACTTTTCCTACCATCTGTAACCACCTTTAGTCATCGATCTTGACCTTTCAAACACCTTAGAAATCAATCCCAGCCCGATTTGACGCTTACCCCACATAATCCGTGTCATGTAAAAGTTTGGGTCTGACGAGATTTTACCGAAAAGATATCCTTGGCTCCCCACTTTGATTATTTGGGTTTCCGTATAAGTACTAATGGACTGAAGACGATTAAGTAGAAAATTCGGCCTATCCTTTAGGCACCACAACCAGGAAATCAACACGAGTTGAGGTCGTTCTTGCGGATGTACAATCACTACTCAAGTTTTGTTCGGCAATTAGCCACCGTGTTACACCCGTTGCAAGGGTACTCAGTGGGTGTGGTCTGAGACGGAGAAATTGGACTTCTGTCAAGCTAAAAGTGCGTTGGCTAGTCCACCGGTTTTTGCCCACTTTGACCCCGAAAAGTATATGACACTGACATGTGATGCATCGCCGTATGGTGCTGCCCTGTTACAACCTGACACGAACAGAGTAAACAAAGCGGTTACATTTGCCTCTCGGACCCTATTGCAGACCGAACGAAATTACACCCAAAGTGACAAGGAGGCTTTGACGGTCATTTTTGGGGTTGTGCGATTTCAACAATACCTATTCGGGCAGAGATTTGATATGCACACGGAGCACAAGCCATTACTGGGAATTCTGGTTGGATCAAAAGCAATACCCGAAATGGCATCGCCCCGGATGCTTCGCTGGGCTCTGCTACTCGCTGGATATCAGTACCAACTAAAATATCTTCCCGGGAAGGATAATCATTGTGTCGATGCTCTCAGCCGACTTCCATTACGTGAGGTTCTGAGCCACACTCTAGCTTTGAGAGAATTGATACAAGTAGAATCTTGGTTGGATGATTCGCCGGTGACAGCAACGGAAATAAACTCGGAAACAAGGAGTGACCCGGAACTGTCGAAGGTGGGTGATTATGTCCTAACTGGTTGGCCGGACTGGGTAGATGAAAGTCTAAGATTGTTTCGCACTCAAAGAAACGAATTAAGCCTCGAAGACGGTTGCATACTTAAGCCTCTCGAGTCATCGTCCCCAAACGGTATTGTCAAATAATCCTGCGCGAACTTCATATGGGTTACCAAGGAAATTCAAAGATGAAGGCACTAGCATGTGATTACATCTGTGGCCGGGATTCGATCAAGAGATAGAACAACTCGTACAATTGTATGTTGCCTGTCAAGAAAATAAATCATCCCCACAACCTGTGCCAATGTCTCCATGGCAAAGGCCCTCTTTCCCGTGAGATGGAATACACAATGACTTCTGTGGACCTATCGACGGACCTATCGATGGTTCTGGTTGTAGTGAACGCCCATTCCAAATGGATCGAAGCTCGGGAAATCACATCCATGACTGGGTTGACCACTGTGCACGTTTTAGGGAATCTATTCACTACACATGGTGTACCATGTACGGTTGTTTCAGATAACGGCCTGACATTTACC